CGAGCTTGAACATTCTTCATCACAAAAGTCTCAAGTTGACTTCTGCACTTCATCACTCGACGAGTAAAAACCAACTCCATAAGTGTTGGAGTAGGAATATATGTTCGCTTTTCTCAGCTGAGCTCAGGAGTTTCCTATACAGTGTTGGAGTAGGAATATATGTTCGCTTTTCTCAGCTGAGCTCAGGAGTTTCCTATACAGTGTTGGAGGAGGAATATATGTTCGCTTTTCTCAGCTGAGCTCAGGAGTTTCCTATACAGTGTTGGAGTAGGAATATATGTTCGCTTTTCTCAGCTGAGCTCAGGAGTTTCCTATACAGTGTTGGAGGAATGTAGTTGGACATGTGCATATTTTCCCAAAAAAACTCAAATCATAAACACACATAATGGGCATCCCTGAGATTCCTCGAGCCACTCAATAGCGCATCGCCAACAAAACATGTGCCCACAAATCAGCGCTGTTGGAGACTCCATCTCAGAGTAGCAAATCTGAAAAGAAAAAAAACGCACTCGGAAGATTTCATATTCACAAAGATATTTCACCAAGCACGTCAATTTATCATAGCCGAGGTCCAAAGATTCCTCATATTCTTCATCGGTCGAATTATTAGTTGTTTTATCGCCTGAAAGTGAAGGACTTATCAAAATAATAATCAACACTGAAAATCTACTCATAGAAATACGATATAAAAATCAATTCTCGGAGTTCCGCCCTAGTGACATGAAAAACATATTTCACGACTACTGCATATCACCACGAATATCGTGGTTTTCACAGAGTACTACGCCACCTGACGTAAAATTCCAGAAGATATTCTCAAAGAAATACACAATTTAGAACGGAAAAATAATCAAAAAATTCCCAAAAATAGGACGAACAACTACACTGACCAACAGCTAAATGGAAACAACTTTCATTTCAACACAGAAAATCCCAAACTTCGTCAATGTCACCAAAGTAAAGATCTACGCAAACTAACAATAATAACTTCAACACGAATCGACTTACTCGAAGAAGGTTTCTCGATCTTCCGCTGTTTCCACTTACCATACGCTTCCAGTACAACAGTAGCTGAACAGGACAGTCCATGTTGCATTAAAACTACCATCGGTCGACCCCGGGGTCGAGACCCACGCCTGTCAACTTTTTCAGAAGAATGAATAACAAACCAGCTCTCCACGATTACTCAAAAACAATTGAAAACACTTGGGAACTTCACCCGTTTTACGTGAAGTGGCGTAAAACTCGGTGAAAAACGCGATATTCGCGGTAATACGCAATGTTTCTCACTGGTATTGTTCATATCACTAGGATGGAATTCTATTACACAGGTCCCAGCATAATAAACATCAAATTCGAGATCAGTACAGTACGTGTCAATTTGATATGCAAATTTGCATTATTCTCCGATATTGATGATAATCGATTTGAAACTATATCTTGCATATACAATGTAACGATGGCTATGAACATGTGTTGTGATGATGAAAGTAACCGTTTGGGACTGTAATAGCGGCAACTTGTTCACTATCATTTATCCTCCAAAGTAACACATATTTGCATATCAAATTCACGCGTACTGTACATTGCAA